TCGATTATCTTGATGGCCACCTGCACAATGATCGAGCACCAAAAACACAACTGTAATCAGTCAGTAGCATAAAATAGAATAATTGTTGTGGCTCATCAGACTTGATGGGCGATAAGAAACACTCACATAAACACGAGTACAGACAGCAATTTAATATTCTGAGAGGTAAGCGGAGACAGTATGTTCTTTTCAGAGAATTGCTTCTGAAACACAAGATAAATACGTACTTAAATACAGCTTGTGCTGGAAACTTCATAAACACTAACAATTTGAGAAGATGAAATATCACGAGGGTACAGCAGAGGCAAACACAGGCCTTGTTGGATATACACACACACCCACAGTGACACGTACATGTGTAAATTGCACACTCACAACTTCAACACTCTTGGCTTTGATTAATGATGTCCGGTGGGTAACAAGGCGATATTAACATCTCTCCTTCAGACTGTCTCATAAACAGCATTTCATCAGTGTGATCTGAAGTGCTTCCAAACGTCTGTAAGCCAAGCTGGAGGAGTAAACAACAGGAGACCCCAGCTCCCCTCGTAGCAATCACACCACTGTTAGATTTAAGTTAGAAAACTTGTCCTGAGCATTCAGACCACAAACAGGACAGCTTTAAAAGAAGTATACAGTGCCGGTGAGACCTGAGCTGAAACAATCAGGCGTATAATCAATTAGCTGATCAACAGAAAATGCAGGACATTTTCACAGACAAAATTTCAAAACTTTTCCATGACTTCTCAAGAACCCATGATAAAATCCCATGACCATTCACACTGTACAAAACAGGCATTGCTTCATCTCAAAAGTGCAGCACAATTTAGTGGGGCATAGATACGGAAACTTTGGGATTCATGAGCCTACATTATTCAAACATATCAGATTCAAACTGTATTTAAAACATAATTCCAGCTGGCTGGCATACATGGAGGTGTCTTCTATGTTAGTGAATTGAATTTTGTACCGTTAATAGGTAAAAAAAAATGTCAACTTGAGGTTTCGGGGAAATCGTGATGGCACTTTTCTCCAAACGATTAATTAATTAGGAACCACAGTAATCAATAATGAGAATAACCATTTGCTGCAGCCCTGAGTGAGCTCAAACAGGATCCAGGAGGATGGGTTTGAGTAATAGATCCATGAGTTTGAAGGTTTATCAGAAGCCAAAACACTGCACAGCACTTTACAACACTGTCTGTGACACTAGATTTTCCTCTGGAAAGTACTGACGGTCATGTTATCCTCCATCTTGATCGTCAGATAAACAGCAGAAATATCCTCTTCATGTTACAAAGTGTTTTAAAAGGAATGTGAATCGGCGTGTATTTCACCGGCAACCGCAATGCCAGCTGACGTCACACTTGTGGAAAATGTTGAGCCAAGTCCAACGCTTTCTGCTAGATGACCCTGTGTTTTTTTGTGTTGGTATTCCTGCTGTGTCGATGCAGTGGTGTCATTGAAAAGAGTCTGAACACAGTGTTATGGATGTTTTTAATCTTAAAGCGAAGTCTGACACCTCCATCCCACTGACACCCAGTTTAATCCTATTTAACATATTAGTCGTTAGCACTTACAGATGTGCCATAATGGCTGTTTTGATATGTTTAACTCTCTCTGTTATCGTACTCTGCCCACAGTACAGACAGGTATGCAATTTGGCGTCAAAGCCTACGAAGAAATCTTTTAATGGCACTTCAGCTGCAAGTCGAGAACTCCAGGGCATAAAATTTAAAATTGCTGGCCTAGTACAGGGATTACAAGGTACTTAGCATGAAAAGATCTGAGCCAACTGATTACAATGTCAACAATACTAACACACACACACACACACACACACACACACACACACACACACACACACACAAACAAGACTTCTTGCGTACTCTGCTGGCACAAGGTCATTTGAGGACAATGTTACAGGGGAATTTATCTCATACATTAAGTAATGAGAGCAGAAAGGCAGCACAATGCTGTGATCAGAGATGGATAACCGTACAACCCGCTGAGCTGACAGACAGGACCACATGGGAATGAGTAAGCACTACTTGACCCCCAAAAGCTGCAGTATGTACATAATGGGATGAATGGGTCAGTATAACACGTAGGAGCCATGTGTAGAAAAAGTAGGTTATGCACACACAGGTACACTTATCTACGAATACGCACACAGACACAGATCCAATCTGCCGTATCATGTGTCTTTTAACACTGCTTTTCTTTACACACATGCTCCGGGCTAACATCTTTTTTGCCCTGGCAAATTCTCAGGCAGATGGCATCACATAAAGTTGATAGCCTGCCTCTCCAGCTGACCTTGGCCACTTCAACAAACAGCCTGGCTCTGGCCATGGGCCTGGCCGAGCCAAGCAGCTGCAGTGGCTCTCTGTAGCAACCAGCGCTGAGTGACCTCTACCAGACCGGCGGACTGCAGATCAGCACCGACGTGCGTGTTTTCATCCAACTTAAATATCACACTGGCTGAGGGAGAGGTGCAGCCACTTAGTGAAATCACCTGGTGTAGTGTTTGACTGAATTTAAAACCTGAATTCACATAGCTGTTTAGTGTTACACGGTTGCACATTACCTGGCTAGACTAACACTCCACCTTTTCACAGGTTTTAATAACCAAATTAACACGATAAGAGTCTTAGGAGCCATATTCTTGCCTTGTTATTCATTAAACCTGCCGGGGGCCTCGTCTGGCTGATGTAAATCTTTGTTTTTCTGTACAGCACGATTGCTCACGTTCACCAGCATACAGTTGGAGGCTCTGTGAGGTCAAAGATCATAGTGTGCAACTGTGTTTTCACAAGCCTCCCTGCACATTTTTCTATCACTCCCTTTGTGTTCATCACACACAGACCAGGCAGTCTTTACATTAACTCCTTGTGTCTGTGTCATTACAATGGAAAGTCATGTCACTCAGTGGTACTAGTCAAGAAAGGCCTTTCTGTAGAGAGCTGACATACAACTATTAGTCACACAAATCCAAGCCCTGTTCCTTCTGCGCTCATGCTGCATCGCCCGAGACTGTGCAGTATTTGTAACATCAAACCCTCTCCAAACCAAGTGAAGACCCCCAGAGCAGTGTCAGTGGATTTCTCTCTGCATGCATGCGTGCAGAACACTTTGCTTTCCAATTACTCTGGCTGACATACCCTGCTCCTCACAAAGCTCTCGGCACTGCTGGCACAAGAAACCACTAAATCACATCATTATTTGGATTACATAATGGGACCACCGACCCATGCTGCATGCCCCAGATACAGCGATGTTTACAGCAGCCAGACTCTGGTGCTGGTACACTGTGTCACCGTCTGGGTCATTACCAAAAGGAGTGCAGGTGTATGATGCTGGTTTGGCGCAGGACAGAGAAGCATGCATGTTTACAGTTTGTGTTTCCCAGCAGCACTGGTGGTCAGATCTCTTACTGGCAGTGATGCTGTGTGACGGGGTGAACGTGCAGCGAGTCGTTGCTCCTGTACCTGCAGGTATTCAAACACACCAGCTGTTGCTCGCACTGGAGCTGCCAAGTGGCCGGCAGTTACCTGATCCAAGTTTCTATTAGTGCACGATGTGGACAGCATTTAGGTATCTGCTGTGAATATCTGGGGTGTCAACTAGTGCATAAAAGTTATGTAACTCAGCCCAACAGTAGCCTAAGTTAGCTCCCAGGCTAACTAGTTCACAGACACACTCACCTCGGTCTTGGTAATGCGGTGTCGAGCCAGCTTCACGACAGCGAAATTGCCCTTTCCTAAAGTACGCTCGATGTCGTAGAAGCCCACTCGGACCGGACCCCGGATCAGCGGTTTTTGGACACTGTCAGCCATGACCATGCTGTTCTAAATGGGACTGTTTGTGGAGGAGTAGGAGGTAGCCAGACGAGCAGGGGACACACGGGGGGCTCACACGGGGCTTGCTTGAGCAGCTACAGATAAAGACGAAAGGAAAACAAACCGCCCGCCGCCGCCGCTGCTGCCGCCGCCGCCGCCGCTCGAAGCGTGTCCATTAAAAATAGACAAAGTTGATTACTGTGTCGCCCTGCCAGCTTGAACGCCAATGTGGCGACACTCTCCCCCGTCAGTGCGGCGATACGAAGCAGGCCATTTGCTGAACCCGGGGGCTGTCACACCACGCTCTCCAATACAATAGAGCTATAATATTTCAGCTCGAGGTACCTCTATCAGCTACGGCGCACACGAGTTGACTTGCAAAGAGGCATCATGTTCTCTGGTTGACGTGTATTGACGTCAAAGCCATAGGGGTATTTGTACAGGGGGCGGGGCCACGAGGCCGCTCCACACTTCAGTGCCAATTGGTTGCCAAGACAACCAGACCCACCTCTTACGTCAACCGGTAAAATTGCTATTCTGAAATCTGTTTGCTCGCCTGCCTTCCTTGATTGCACGCATAGGTTACTTTGAAGTTTCGCCCTGCAGGTGTTTAATAAGCTGCTGCGAGGGAACAATGCGAGCTGAAAGGGTTAAACTCACTCTACACAATCCTGCAGCTTTTTATTCCTCATTTTATTTGTGCTCTGCAAAGAAAAGAATGAATGGATAAAACAGCAATTTAATAAAAAATAAATATGCACGGAATAAACATTTAAAAACAACAAAAAGATGCATTTACCAGCACGTCTCCTTTCAGTTATATAAGCCATAAAAATATGCAATTGCCATTACAAATCCCATTTATTATAACATATAACATTATATAATGTAACATGCAGGACCTCATGTGAAACTAGACATTTTATCAGCCACAAAGACACTTTGGTAAGCAACCTAACAGCGCCATCTGTTGGCTACAATAGGAAATTGAAGCAGCTGTTTTCAACACAGTTGTATTTGTACTGTAGTAGCAGGCATTTTACACTCACACACACACCTAACATGACACAGACACTCCCTTACACACTCACACACACCCACAAACACATTTGAAAACACTCATGTTATTATTAAATAACAACAAATGCAACCACAACATCTTGTAACCAAACTTTATTTGATACCCACATATCATGTTTGAGATTCAGCACACATTCACACCCAGCAGTTGTTCTCCTCACTTCATGCGGTGACAGTCTAATGCAGAGCGGTGGATTACCGAGCAGGCAGGCAGAACAGCGCTCCGAAGGCCTCCGCTGTCACGCACAGACTTCCTGAATGTAAGAGTTCCAGATGTGCTTTTGGCATTTCCTGTCTAACATTCTCCAAGAACACACTCAGCCTCTCCTTACTGGGCTTGCTACATCTTTCCAAGACACAGTCCCAGCAGCCCACTCAGAAACTAACACGGGCAATTGTGTTCAGTAACGTATGTCTATGGTTATTTTACACATTTACAAGGCAGGCGTATGCTTTCACAAGCTGATGAATGAATCCATAACATACTCAAAAGGTTGAGTTTCCCACACAGTCAGGTGGAGTCAGGGAAAGCCCACAGCTTTGAGGTTTCAGGGTCAGCAGAGTTCTGTCATCAGTGTTTCCGCGTGCACTGTCCTGTTCCCTGACATCAGAGTCCAAACAGGAAGCCTTATACTGGGCTCACACCACTCTTGAGGTTTAGAGAAAGGGTCAGAGTAGTCTGTGAATGGGACAACTACACTGCCGTAGAGACAACAGGATCTGTTTGACCTTGTGTCTCATAATATCTGGTGACGTGATTGGAAAACGGCTGAGTAGTTTAATTCTGGATTGTTTACAAGATGAGTAACCTTGCGTGAGTCCTCAAAACTTGCACTTATTCCCAGGGTTCAATGTGAAATCCACCATGCCAAATATAGCAGCACTGCTGCACCGCTAACCTGACTCGACTCAGTTATGCTTATTTGACTACATTAATGCCTCTTTGAAACCAAAGAGGCAGAGTGCTGCTGTGAAAATACATAATCCCAATGTTAAAGTGTCACTATACCATGTGTGTGGTTTTGAGTGAAGTGTGTCAACAACTATTGGATCCCCCAACTTTCACTGTAATGCTTTGATTATAACCAAATGTCTGCAGAACTAATGACATTCCCCTCAGCTTCAGCTGCTGTGTTCAGTGCTAATTAGCAAATGTTAGCATGCCAACACACAAAAATGAGACAGAGAACATAGTGAATATTACACCTGCTAAACATCAGCATGATATCAGGCCTTTGTGAGCATGTTAGCATGCTCACATTAGCATGTAGCTAAAAGAACCACCATGCCTAAGCCTCACAGAGCTGATGTCATGGCTGCAATCTTTTAGCCTCGTTTGATAATAACATTCATTAAAAAAATTTGACATATATTAGCATTTTTATATAGCCCATCTTTTACTCGTAAATCTAAGGCATGTCATGCTAAGATTCACAATTTGATTGATGATTCGAGAACTCTGTTGTTTAGGGTTGAGAACCGGCTCCAGATTGGAATTCGAACCATATACCTACGAGCTTATCAATTCTTTTTATGGATGCCAGCATGTTTTTTTGACATTTGCACGTTGCAAACCAATACTGTTAAATGTGTCTACGTTGCTGGAAAGTTGCAGCAAGAAGGTTCAAAGCGGAGTTTCATTTCAGAAAGAAAGAAAGATTACAACAGTGCTGCTCTTGTAATGTCTGTAAAATGATAATAATAATTTCGATAGTAATTTCAATTTCATTTCTATGCACAAGTGTCACTGCTTCCCAACTAAGCAGCACAATGGTAAAAATCCTATGCTATAATAACATTAGCTCCGCACAGACAGACTTAGCACGTTTTTCTTTGACTAAGAGAACAGTTAAAGCATGGAGCGTTTGCACACTTAAGTCACATGCATGTCTTTTTTTCTTCTCTGTTTCTACACTGTGTTCAGACTCAGATAATAAAACAGTTGCATTAACGCTAATGTTATTTCCACGGGGGAAATTGATCAGGAATCCATACGGGAACTGATAAAGAAGTTCGATAAGCAGAATCAAAAATGACACTGGTATCAATAAAAACCTATCAGTTTCTATCCATACTGTTGGTGGGGTTCTGGGACGTTCGTGCCTAAATGTGGACTCAGTTGACAAAACTCTGGCAAACCCTGCTTTAAGCATGTATCTAGATGCTGGATACTGAGGATGCTGGAGATACACACACAGGAGAAAGGTTATTGGGACATGGGTCCAGGCCGACACCTGTTTAGTAATCCTGTACCACACAGGTAACCAGTAGAGTGTGCGAGAAAGAAAGGGATGAAGAACATTGTGTTCCTCTGTCTAATTGGGTCAAATTGGAAAGCTGGTATGAGGTTGCTGGACACTCACAGAGACCAGACAGGCATCAACAGTGTTATCCATAGATCTCATTTTCCACCCACCCAGCCTGCCGGCTCTGAGCTCTGCAGGTCTCATAGATGTCGTTGGTCACAAAGCCACTCTCCCTGTCCGCGCATGACACGTTCTCATAATCGTCACACTGGGAGCCCTGGGAGGGAGCACAGGAGTACTTTGTCATGATGTCTGCCAGTATCCTGCTGTCCAGAGCAGTGTGAGGCAGTTTGGTAACGTCACTGAAGGCGTAAGGTCCTTGTATGGCATAAGGTGAAGCTGTTGTTGGCATCCATGGTTTTGATCTACTGGGGTAGCTTTCGGTTTCTGTCTTCCTCCTGAAATTGAAACAAATGACATCAAAGGATCAGCACAACATGCTGCTCTGTGAAGTTACCTCTTCACAGACCACGCAACATGAGGAAACACTTCATGTGGTCTGTGAGTTTTGAACCACAAATTTTACTAGGACTAAAAATACAAGACAAGTTACATATGCCCTTAAAATGTGTGCTGACATTAATTAAAACTGAGTAACTACATGGAGAAGAGCTGCACTGATGTGTCATATTAATAAGTTAATATTCAATAAATGCACTTTACAGATATATATTAACTAATTGTGCAAAAAAGGACATTATTGCTTCTGAAATTCTTCTTAACATTTCCCTTTATAACTCTGCATCTAGAAACACAATGTTTTATATTTGAAGTACAATAGTACATGGTATGGTTTATAGTGTAACAGCTTATATTTTTCTGCTTTTACCTCTTAGCATGCTGTCTGTAGCAAAAGAACCCAGCAGCTGCAAACAGCAGCAGCAGCAGAGCAGGAATAGTTGCATAAAGGATGTGGGAAACATACAGGGTGTTGTCTGAGAGAGAGACTGCAAAGGAAAGAATATTACTAAGCATGATGTCTTTTGAGAAGACTTTAAAATGTTGACCTTTGTTCTTGTATAGTTAGGGCATGTCACAATTCTGTAGCTACTTAAAAGTCCAGTGTGGAGGATATACTAATATAACTATGTTTTTATTAGGTTATACTCACCTGGAAATAAGAGATGTGTTTCGTTAACTTAGAATGAGCCGATAATATCTACATATGGAACAGAGAGTGCCATGTTGTTCTACAGTAGCCCAGAATGGACAAATCAAACACAGGCTCTAGAAAGGGCCATTCACATTTTCACTTTGTTGCATTTTCACGTTGGCCACCGCAGTTCACCTACATGCTTGGCACATAGAAGGAGTTTGAGCTCTGCAACCTCATCACTAGACGCCACTAAACCCTACATACGTTAACTTTAAAACAACATGTTTTAGAAAACATACAGGCCCTTAACTCTAGGTATCAAGAACAAAATTTTCTTCTCTTACCCGATGACTCAGGTAGTCCTATTTTTATCGACTCATCCCTCTCTGTAGTTGAGAACACGCTGGGCCTCAGAGTTGGAACTGGTGCAATCAGAAAGCAGATTAACACCATCAGTTGGCAACACAACAAGAAAAAAAATATGACACTTGACATTGTTTATCTAACTGGTGCAGAACTGATTTCTACCAAAAGAAACAATAAACCAAACGTGAGTACAATTTAAAATGTTAAAGGCATCATGTACGACAAATCCCATGTATTGTGCCTACTTGTTTATTTGTCCCTGTTTACATTTCCTTGTTATTGGATGATGTGGTCATGTGCATCTCTATGCACATTTAGAAAAATTTGTGAATTAGTCATCTCGTCTTACTTTGAATTTGTGAAGAAAACTTTGTTTTTCTTGCATGCCTCCAGGAAAATGGAGAACATATTAGTTTATTGATTGGTTGGGGGACACATTTAACAACAGCAAAACTATACCAAAAAATCTGTTTGAAAACTCTCACACAACACGTGCAGAATAATCCAAGCCTTATTTATCCAGTCCTATGCTCAGTACTTCCCAAACACATGCATTTTGGCTAAAAATCCTTAGTATTGGAGTCTGGCTTTAAAGAGAGTATAGATACAATAAGTTTCACTTTCAGTTCAGTTTTAAATGATAAGGTTTTTGCAAAGATGCATTTGATTTTAAGGAAAACTGTCAGGAAGATTCGGGTACTGACATTACAGATGAAGTGTGGGACACATGTATTGAAAATATTCACAGTAGCTCAATAAATGTTTGGCATGCTTTGATACAATTCAAAGTTGTCCACAGATTGCACTTCTCTCCCACTAGACTATACAAACAATATTCAAAGACACTTCACCCCTCTGTGTGAAATGTTTAAAAGATCAAGGAACACTGTCTCACTAATTCCTGCAATGCCATAGGTTGCAAACCTTTTGGGGTCATTTATTTGAGTTTTTTGCTACAGCCTTTAAGAAATCTGGAAATCTGAGAAGCTCCCAACATTTGATATGTGGCTGAAGAAATTAGGTCATGTTTACATTTACAGAAAATTAGATTCACCCTGTCAAACAGAGAAGGAGACTAAGAAAATCTGGTAACCAGTCATTAGTTTGATTGAAGAATTTAAGTGAATGGGTAATGGTTTAACAGGTTAACTGTGCCATGGTGTCATATGTCAATACCCTGTAACTTGTGAGATAACTTATGTGTAATATTTTGTTTTTCCCTTTTTTGTCAATGCTCCATTTTGTTTTTTCTTTTCCTGTTGGTATGTTTCTGTACTGTACTTACACTGTTTTGCAAAAACCAATAAACAGACGTTGCATGTACTGTACTCCATGTGACCTATAGATTATACACAATGTAAACAACACAAACCTTAATATATTCTGACCACTAGAGGTCTTCATTTACACTGAGGAGAAACTATCATTAAAACTAAGTAACAAAAAGTAGTGATATGGTGGTTTAGTCTGACTTTTCTTGATCTTAGAATAAACACATTTACAGTCACGTGTTATCTCTATCCCACAGAAACATCATGCATACGAGGACAGTGCGTTTGGGGCGGTCAAGTGCATGTTATACCTGCATGTGCTGTGTTCCCTTCATCAGTAAATACTGGTACGTTTTCTGCAAAAGACAGAGAAAAGAAGTCAGCATGATTCAGCCTTTCAATCCTTGCAAAATTATGTAATCAATGCTACTTTACTCAGCTCATACAAAAGATAAAATACATAAAAGCACGCATTCAAAAACCATTTTATATCTACAATAGAGGGAAAAAAGCTTAACATCAGAAAGAATCATTAGAGAAAAGGAAGTAAAAATTAATCAAAAAATAAAACAAGGCCAACATAACGTTCAGACGGAGTGTTTAAAGTAAAAAAAAAAGTGCTCACAGACTCAGTAAGGGGTGTTTCATATTTTTTAAGTCCTTGATAAGACATAAAACCAGTAGATTAATTTATAAATAAACATTAAACAAAGGCAGATATATCTTTTTCAGTTTCCAGAGATCAGAGGCTTACGGTAATCCAGGCAACCAAAATCAAAATTGTGCATTACTTGTTTAGTACTAGTGGTTGACAGCAGTGGCCACATTTCAGTAATGGTTTTTGGACGATAAAAGTCAGATTTTGTGGATTCAAGAGCCAAAACCAAGAGTGCCAAATGTCAATAACTCCCAGCACCATGCAGCCAGATACAACAGCACAGTGTCTGTGATCTCCTGGCTCACCTTCTGGGTATTTGCAGACAAAGTTGTTCTTGGAGTTGCAGTTGTCATCGTTCCACTGGAACAGGAAATGACCTTCTTCGTCAGGTGGTGCAGAGGGCTGGTGGTACAGAACCACACACATTTCAACACCACACGACGGCTCGTCCCAGTGCCAGTTCCTACAGCAAATAAGACGCAGAAGTTTAGACTTGTATCACATTCAAATTGGAAGATTAACATTATTGCACGCAGAGTTTTGATTTATATCTGAATTTCTTGTTCCAGAATTCTTGCAAAGGACTGCGGACAGTCTATCACTCCCTGAAAGCACTATTAGTTTGTCCCTTGAGTCCCCTCATACCATTTTCACCGGTACAGCCAAAATATTCACACATAAATTGTGGCACGATGAAAAAATATAGACAAAAAATAGATACCAACCTGAACTTGGCCTTGCTTCCATCGAGCCAATAGTACTGCGAGGGGCACCCTGGGCTTGTGGTCCCTGCCCTGTAGCGCTGTGGGCTGCGCCGGAGCCCGATCCAGAAGTCTCCGTCCCCAACCTGCAGCTGCTGTATGAACCTCTCCATCAGTCGCTGCTCGCTATCTGTTTCAATGCTGAGCAGATCGCCTCCATCTGACCTGCAGGCCTGCCTGGCGTCCTCGAAGGTCAGCCTCCGCCTGCTGTCCTGGATGTAGGACACCTTGTAGCATGGGCGTTCTGTCCCGCGCCGACAGATCCTTTGGCCTGGACACCACAGGCAGCACCAGGGAGATAACAAGATGATAAGTGCAAGGGTTTTCATTTATTTATTTATTTTCTGAAGACTTCCTGTGGCACCCACGTGACAGGAAGATTATAAACAACCTACAGCATCACGGACAAATTAGGAACTAGAATTTCTTGCCAAAGTCTTCCCATTTCCTGCAGTGTGGGTAGAGTTAACCGTATGGTAGTGAAATTACAGTGTAAAACCTATATTTTTGAAGACTTAAAAAAGATGTGTTTGTTTTTTCCAGATTGGTCTTGTGCCAATCAAAATAGTTTTGATGCTGTGGTGCACTGTGACAGACAGTGACATAAATAAATATATGAGTCTGGACATGTCTGAAATGCAGTGGTTTGCTGAGGTGGCACAATAAGCAGCTGAATTATTGGACTAAAGTTATGGCTTTACACAAATCTTGAATCTTGAATGTCTAAAGGTACCTATGGCAAATCACTTACAGATATATTAATATAAATTTAATATGCCAACTAATAAACAGACTGACTTTACTGCTTATGACCCATTAATACAAAGTCATATCTACCTGCAACCCCTCATTACAGGTTGCATGAGAAAAATAAGAATAAAAAAGCAATGAAATAATGACAGAAATCTCAGACATCTTACCTCTGTGAAATATTCTTTCATTTGGTTCTATTTTTTTGCCTTAAAGATAAAAGATAAATAGTGCTAGTCTATAGATTTGAGCATTTGTTGCATAGTAGTGGAGTTAGTATAGACATGCTGCTATTATTATAGCAGTTAGCAGCATAGTTATTGTTATAGTAGCCTACAATAAGATAAAGTAAGGTAAGGTAACTTTATTTGCCATTTGTACACCTGTACTTAGTCTGGGTACATAGGAATTCTTGTGCAAAAAACACTCAGTCAAGACAAGTGATAAATAGTAAATATAAAGTGCTCACCAAAGTATAAAAGGTATAATAAATACAATAATATAAACTCCAAAAGTGGAAAGCAACTAGTACATTTAAAAGTACATTTAAGAACTGTACTTAAATACAGTTTTGAGATACTTGAGTATTTCCATTTTATGCTACTTTATACTTCTACTCCACTAAATTTCAGAGGGAAATATTGTACCTCTCCCTCAATAACACTGATAACTCCACTATTTGATAACTATTGTTACTTAAAAAATATCTACTGAAAATATCAGTATACATCAGACAATAGATGATGATGTATTATTATAGATTTCTACCCAGCAGTAGCCTATACAATGCAAATAATATTAGCACCGCCTTCACCAGCTTTAATATTAAAATGATGACCACATGAATGCCTAAATTGTTATAATTCTGTAATATAATGTAGGCTATATTTATTTATTTTTCTATTCAACCTTTATTTAACCATTTGAAACGTGGAGCAACATCACTTTTCTTATGCTGCTTTCAGATACTTTTTGCATGTATCTAAACCTCTGAAACCTGAGCAAATTGGTACAGTGTCTTTTGAAAACATGGGGGAAAAAAGGCAATGAGCAACTTGCTGAGAAATGTTCCACAAATTGCAAAAAAAATAATAGATTTAGAAAATGATTTTAAAAAAGCTAAGGAAAAACTGTATTAATAATTATAAGTATTTTATATTTAAAATAATGTTACTTTTAAAATAATTACTTTTATTTTTTAAGCTTTTTTTCTGGGTCTTTTTTATATATATATATATATTTTTTAACAAACTTTCTTGTTTTGAATTTTCTCTTTTTCTTTTTTTTTTTCTTACTAATTTTAGAGGGTCATTTCCTCTTCCATTGCTCTCTGCCTTCTTCCCATGTTTTTGAAAGAAACCAAGCAAATGTGCACAGGATTTAAAGGGCTAACCAGAAAAACCTCAGGATTAAAAATCTCTTTTTCAAGAGTGTCCTGGCCAAGACAGGCAGCAACATAAAGTTGCATAAAGACACACAACACAGAACAAAAATACAGAATAAAAATGTACAACTATAAAACAAGCAATATAAAACAAACAAAAAAAGATCATTACAGGGAAAAGCTAAAAAGTATGTTAATATATATAGAAGTGATCCATTTTTTTAAATGAGCCATTCTGCATAATGAGTACTTTCACTTTTAGTACTTTAAGTCAATTTTGTTTACTTGATTACTTGAGTACTTTTCTTGACTAAAATCTTAAATGCAGGACTTTTACATGAGTCATTATTTTAAATCAAAAGTATTGCTTCTGTCACTTAAATAAGAGATCTGTGTGACCTCCTTCCTCCACCACTGGCAGCCTGTTAGTATTACAGCACAATACTCTGCGACCTCCTGACTTCAAATCAGTGATCTGTTGATGTTCATTTTCCACCTCATCACGTGCTGCTGTGTGACTGCAGCCTGTTTGTCATTATCACACACACACTGTTTGCGTTAGGGTAGTTCTGGTATCAGCCTGGTTACTTTAATTCACTTAAGAAAACGCACAAAAAACATATGCCTTAAAACATATAGTACACAGCCTCGGTCTGCGCTGCGTGCAAACTTTTTATTTATTTATTTGTAACTTTCTCGGTACAAACAACCAAGTCGAAGTCTTACCTTAGAATAAAACATGCAACAAGCCTATTACACAGTCTGACAGGAGTTTATAAAGGGAGTTTTCCTCCCAGGAAAACACTCACCATTTATTTTAGACGCAGATCCAGGGTGGAACAAAACGGCGATAACGGTGCCAAACAGCTTCATAAAATCCATTTCTACATGTTCACCCGAGTGTGTTGCGCGATCAGTTTTAAAATCAAGTGTAAAGTAGCTTGTTGGAGGCAGATTTTCAACCCCTGTGATAAACAGACTGATGATAGACGCAGCCAGTCTGTGCAGGCAAAAGTGGGTCGCTTGGTGGAGGCGTGTGTATGATGGCGTCTGCTGCTGAGGGGAAAAAACACCAAGAGGGAGATAGTCCAAGATTTTTTTTTTCCCCTTATTTCTTCTTTGCAAAAGACAAACTATTCTTGCTTTTCAGTTGTTCTGTCTCCTCACATGCAAACTCAAACCACTGGGGTATGAATTTGTGCATATGTGCAGCCATGTGTCCCCTTTTACTAAATTAGAAATGTCCTGTCCCACACATAGGAGCGTCATTATAATGGGATGAATAGAGTTCTTTGTGGATACACTATGCATCATGCTCCCTGTAGTAAAATAAAGACTGAGTATCTGTATCTCTCATTCTTTTTCCACTACACACACACACACACACACACACACACACACACACACACACACTGTGATTGAGTGCTGGGGGAAAATAGCTCAGAGGAGAAAATGAAGCGAGAAAGCAGAAACAGAAACTGACTTTAAAAACTTAAATGAAGCATGTTAAAAGTACAACTCAGTTTTTCCCTTTTCTTTGTCACGTTGATCTCATGTGTTGCAATTCAGCTTATTCAGTTTACTGACCACAGGTCTGATGTGAAAAAGAAAGTCTCTCATAAAGGAAACTGACTCATAGCACACTGTGAAAACACTGAGACACACAGCAAGGACAAAAAGTGAGATAGGGACGGAGTAATAGATAAAAAGGAAGAGAGAGAGAGATTGGATTGGAACAGGAAAGCGTAGAGGAGGAAGTGGAAAGGCCCTTACTTCCTGTTCATTGCTTTGGCTCGGTTTCCAGTTATTGCAGCTCCATTTCCAGAGTATGAGTGACTGTGAAAATCTGGAGCAGTGGCAGGGATTACACAACAAAGACTGAATTATTTTTACACTGTTTAATCCAGCAAAGTCATAAGACTGAAACTTTCCCCTGAGAGACTGAGAGGCTGACAGGTTAAATAGAGGCCTGCTTTAGTTATGGTGACATGAAAACTCCATTGCTGTTTGTGTGAGACACAAATCTGTTCTGAGCAGGCTAAAGAAAGTAAAAGCAGAAGTGTGTTTGAATTCAAGGGGTGCTTGTTTTAAACTTAGATGTCTGTAGTATTTATCTGTTATTCATACAATAAGTTATTGTAGTTAATTTCAGACCTATGCCTTGTTCAAATAGCAGCGAATCAAGAAAAGATAAGGAGGGAGCATCCCTGGACAAAACAGGCTTTCTTAATCATTATGTTGAGTCTCTTCCTGTGGTGGTGTTTGCGTTAGTGATGGGTGAATATGAACAAACAAATCTTTTTGAACGACCCTTTTTTAGTGTGTGGTATATACCGGCTCATCCTGGTCAACATCCACATGCCGGTGAATCTATAATGTGTCATAACGTAGTGCAGCAACAGCGCTGAATAAACAAGTGATGACTGGTTAAATTGGACTCTAGTTGGGAGATCTGCCAGCCAAGGCCAATTGTGCATTCACATGCTCCTCCAATGGTCCCCCTGATTGTGGTGCGTTCACAAGCTTAAAGTTTTAATGTAGAAACAAAATGGACGCTACAACGATGTGTCGTACTTTATAGCTCACAGTGTTTAAACAACACTTTGATGACAAAGAGCAAAGCAATTTGCATTTTTTCAGATTATTCTGACACCACATGAACACAGCACAAGGCCACGGAGGTAACTGGGGCTTCTGCTACTTGGTCAGAGACATTTCTCTAACATCTTATAGAGCTTACATATCCTACGTACGTAGAAATGGGATGCTGAATCAATGCATTTAAAATGAATATTTTGTCTTCATTTATATAGTTAGTTAGCTAGTTAGTAGCAGTTTATTTCAAACATGTAAATAGCAAATAAAAAAAATAGTCATATGGTGGTAGACAGACATAAAGAAAAAACAGATTACTAAAGGAAGCATGAAAACTGAAAATAATAATGATAATGATTTGATTTACAAAAAAGGAATGGGAGGAAGTACAAACCTATTTATTCCCACCCCTTCTTCATATATTAGTAACAGTCAGTTATGTAGCTCCCCATCAGTATAGAGCTGTGCAATATTAATTCTCCTAGATCTATTAATTACCAATAATATTTGTCTTACAGCATGATATGAATGATTACAAAAATACTTAGAAAATAGAAATTCATATATCTATACCTTATTCAAAAAAATAATCTCATCTTAATATCCTTATCCAATCATGACAGATACGTTTGCTTTGTCAAACTATGCTCATATACACAAACTATGTATATATACATACTCACATATTCACACACATACACAAAACTGATAGTAATAAATAAATGAATAAATACAGTAAAGAGTAAACCTGCTGATAGTCAAACACCTTCTTCATTCAGTCTCAGACATGATGATAGGTAATGCGTTGAGGAGAAGTTTTCTGGTGCGGGAAGCACTGTTGATAGTGCATGTACTATCAGAGTATCATGGAGAAACTGAAACCACATTTTGCAAAAAGTATATAAACTCAAAAGGTTCAATCAATTTACATGTATCAACTCGAGGACACTGATACCATGCAAAGAATCTGTCGGCCCATCACTAGGTTGCATGCTTCTTTTCACTCTGGGGGCTATATTAGATGTTAGGTCATCATTATTGGGATTGAAATGAAGTATGTAATGTTTCTGAAGTTATCTTTGAAGGAGAAAACTTAATCAGGGGGGCAAATATTGTTGTCACGGGGCCAGATTTGGACCACAGGTCTATATTTGCCCATCATGGTTTATCTGAGCAGGCCGTTGGTTGGTTTGATAATTATTTGTCAAATAGAAAACAATGTGTTTATTTTGAAGGCAGCTCATCCACTCTGCTAAATGTTTCTACCGGTGTGCCTCAGGGCTCAGTTCTGGGCCCGATTTTGTTTGTTATTTATGTAAATACATTGGGCAGAAACATCCCAAATGCCAAATTTCATTTTTATGCTGATGACACGGTTATATACTGTTGTGGCTCCACTCTTGCCGAGGCCCTAGGCAACTTACAGATTGCTTTTAACCTTGTGGAAAGTCAGCTCATTAAATTAAGACTTGTTTTAAATGCTGCCAAAACTAAACTGATGATATTTTCCAATGGCAGGGAAGTACCTGTGTCTCCTCCCAGCATTTTGTCATTACAAGGGTGTGAGATTGAACTTTTGTCCTGTTACAAGTATCTCGGCATTTTAATTGATGATCGGCTTTCTTTTAAACCACATGTAGAAAATCTGGTAAAAAAAATTAAGATTGAAATTGGGATTCTTTTTCCGCCACAGATCTTGTTTTTCTTTTTCTACCAGGAAAAAGTTGGTTGCTGCCACCTTCCTCCCTGTACTTGATTATGGCGACCTCTTATATATGTATGCCCCTGCAAATTGTCTGTGTTCTCCGGACACCGTGTATCATGGTGCCTTAAGGTTTGTCACTGGATGTAAAGCCCTCACTCACCATTGCACTTTATATGCTCGAGTTGAGTGGCCATCTCTGGCAGCACGTCGCCTTATACATTGGCATATTTTTATTTATAAAGCCATCTTGGGTCTGCTCCCCCAATATTTATGTAATTATTTCTCTAAATCCCAAAGCAATTACCGCTTGAGTTCTAACGAGTTTTATGTATTAAACGTGCCCAAAGTTAATTCTGAATTTGGTAAGCACTGCTTTAAGTACGCTGCACCTGCTGCTTGGAATGCACTGCAGAAAACTCTAAAGTTAAAGGAGCTCATCAACCTTGGATCTTTGAAAACTCGTGTGAGAGAAATTGGAGCAGCTTCATACCGCACTTGTTCTTGTTTTAATGTGAATCCGGAGTTTTAGTCCTGTTGCTTCTATTCTGTAATGTATTTTATCTCTGTTGCTGTGTGATTTCTGTGTGTCTTATAATTGTTGCAACTTTTCTATGCTGCTGTCTTGGCCAGGCTTCCCTTGAAAAAGAGATCATTGTGTCTCAACGGGACCGACCTGGTTAAATAAAGGCAATAAAATATAAAATAAATATATCACTGCATTAGAGAGACAGGTAACTGCAAATGAAAGCAAAGTTAACCTGAGTGAGCACCTTTATTTCTCTACATTTAATGATAAATGGGAGTGGTGTCCTTCAGGATGACAGTATTCCCCTCCACAGGGTGCACACAGGGCCTCTGAATGGTTTAATAAGTATGAAAATGATGTGAATCATATGCTATGACATTTGCAGTCACCAGACTGTCTTATATATTTAGTCACGCAACTACTTATTAGATCTGATACAGTTTTTCTCTTTGTGGTTACATACATTTCTTAAGATAAACCCCAATTTAATAACTGCATTCCTCACATTTCCCCAAACTTTACATCTATTTCACTCACATTGCCCGACAAAGCGCTCGTATCAATAAGATATAAATATAATGCAGCAAAAATAGGAAGCAAAAACACAGGTCAAACATGCTGTCCTCTTCGCAGGCTCGTCTATATATCTGCTGACCGTGTTATTGCATCTAGTGCTTTAACACAATGTACAGTACATGACATGATTGAATATATGACTGAGGTCAGAGACATATAAACTCGTAACCCAGAAGCTCACTGCAGCCTGCAATTTACCCCCCTCTTGTGTTGTGTGATTTTTAACAACATCCATCAACAGATGACCTTGGAAGAAGAGTAATAAACAGCAGCTCCTCTCGGTGGAGAACTGAGCGTGGACAGACAATCACAGGCTGTTTGTTTGTGTGTAGGTCTGTTGTTTACTACCTGGCTTCAGGCCATCTCTCTATTTGTCTGTCTCTGGTAACACATGGGCGTTTGTCACGTGGGAGTCTTGTTGTCAGACTGAGCCTATGGAGGCTCATTGCGTGTGACCTGGGATTTTTTTCCCCTTGTTTTGGTCTTTTCGAAGCCTCTAATGTTTGTTTGCTTACTGGTCGATGCATGCAGATGTATGTCATGTGATGAGGAGCATGTGTTGCAAACACCGCCCCTGTTGAGCTTTTCACAAAGATTATTTGTGCTAATTGCATTTGAAAAAGTGACTGATTTGTATATTTGAGGGAACATTTAAAAAAATCATAAAATAGACGTATGAACAGGCTTGTTTTAGTCCTCTTGGAAGGCCTTTGGTAGGCC